AATCCACAACTGGTTCCTCATCGAAATCAATTCCTCCAAAAAAAAATGGTCCGTAGCATTATTTGCGTAACATCTGCCTTATTATTCGTTGCAAGTTCAAGTGAAACAGAAAAAAAAGATACAAGAAAACAGGCAGAGAGGCGCGTGTACTTGTGGGTATACCCTCTACATGCCTGAGACGAAGTAGGCGTGGCATCTGAGCATGACACAAAGTGGATTATTCGTGGGGTATTTCGATTCAGGACAAATGTCAGCTTGTTCTGTGTTGGACAGAGACACGACCACAACTGTGTCGAAAATGAAAAATCTCTCCAAAAGCACAGCCACCGCCACGTTCAGTTGAAGTACGCAGCCACGCCTACCACATCTAAGGGATTACGAGTGTACGCGCCACCTCCAGTGTGCTAAAAACAGGCCCCGCACTCAAGTAATTAGTGTTCGTCCTTCCTTGTGCAAGTAGTCCAGCCCTAAAGCTAAGAGACTGTCCCACTCTCGCGACTCCACAGCGAGCGAGGAGCGAGCTACAGCCGCTGAAAGTTCTAGTTCTAACGCCCGCTCAGTTGGACCGCCCACTTGCTAGATGCCCTCTGACGGAGGGCCGCTCAGTTGTTCTTTGTTGGGGCGGCGGGCATTAATCGGAACTGCATGTCCTTTTTGCTGACCACGCTCGTGCCCATAGCTACACTCGAGATCCCTGAGATCGGGTAGGCGTGGCCGCATTTTTCAACTTACCCTCAAGGCGTCTACGCTTCTGATGCGATATTTTCATCTCGACACAATCGTTGTCGTGTCCAATACAGAACAAGATGACAGTTGTCCCAGACTGGAATATTCCACCAGTAACCAGTTCCTTACAGTGTTCGAATGCTCCGCCTACCCGATCTCAGGGATTTCGGTGTTATGGTTCTCTGCTCTCGTTTAATTACATTTTACACATTAGGAGGGGCACATAACATCAACTACAACGTAAATCGCAAGGTAAAACGCATAAAAACCACAAGTGATGAAATTTCCGTGGTGCAAAAGCTCGATGTGCACTAATTGTAACAGATGCACGATACATGGTATGGGGTAGCGTATTCGATCTAAGAGGTCATGCGCAGGGTGGGCCGAGTGTGGACACATGTTCTTTTGTTAACCCGGGCGAGTGTTTCGTTGGGTTGTTCGCTGCTGTTTGTTGTTTCGGTAATTCTTGTGCCTTTGTAGACGAATGGAGTAATTGTACAGGTGACATCGTCTTTGTACCATACTCTCCGGACTCGGCCAGCCTCCTCAACGCGCGAATGAAGTAAATAGGGAAAAAGTGCCGCTAGATGACACCGTCCTCGGCTAAGGTTTTCACCAATGCTTACATTTTGCTTGCAGATTTAAATCAAACCTTTCACGAAGTCATTGACTTCACGCCATTTGGGATTCACTATACCGTTCTCTTTGAAATCGAGGCCCTGGGCATATTGTAGACCATCGATTTCGCGAACACTGTGCATAAGGTTCTGACTTTTGAAGAACAACCGACACGATCTGGAACATCACCAATGGCAGAATAAGCAGAACTGTACTCTTGGTCCTGATGCTGGGGCGTATAAGGTGGGCTGTGTTTCGCAGGGCGCCAGTGTGTTCTCCACCAGTTGTTGACGAGGGCAAGCGACGGCGAACTGGAGGAAACTGAAGTGGCGCTCCGCCAAACCTAGCCTCACGCCCCAACATCCGTAGCGATCAAGACTGTGCCATAGATTCAAAAAACCCACGGTCAAGTAGCAAAGAAGCGGCAACACCTTCCGGTTGGCGGGGCCTTCCTTCAATGAACCTGAAAAAATGAACGGATTCGTACTCCTGCTCCTTTCTTCAACTTTGCTGTACACTTTATCGGCACGTCCCACGTTCATCTGATGAGCAAATGCTTCCTTGAACTAGCACGGTCCATAAACACTGAGGACTTGCCACTGTCGCGGTTCAGAGATACACTATAAGAATGCTAGGCGCTCTAGACAGTGAAGTTGTGCCGCCCCACCACCCTGAGCTATGCAAAACGTATCCATGGTTCCCTCTATATTGCGCCAGAATCGCTACCATCTCTTCCTACTCCCAACTGTGAGGGAGATGTGAAAAGGAATAGCTGCTGATACCTTCATGATACCAACCAGTGGAAACTAGTCTAACTACGCCTTTTTTTCGCTTGAAGCGCGTATAACCTTGTCTCGGCAAGGAGCCCGACCTGAGCGTTTCTGCTTTTCCCTTCATAAATGAGTTACATGCCACTTTCCTTCTCGTGCTTCAGCCTCACTGCTCACCATTTGAGATCGTGAGACTTGCCTTCAAGTTCTGGTTTCGATTGCAGACTCTTGTTGAGCGGTATAATTTGGATATTTTTGAAAATTATAGATTTATTATTATTATATACTATAAATTATAGATTTTGTGGAGATTTCTGAATTAAGGATGAGAAGAAGTTCCTCACTATAAGCAACACTCCAATGGATCTGAAAAAACTCCCAAGGTAACAGTAAAGCCACAGCAACACTTACTTGATCCCTTTTCGAGCGCCGGATAATCTCTCCATTCCGTAACCAGCGTTTTCAGGTTTTTTTTGACAGTAGATACAGCCGAAGCCAAACTGAGTGAAGAGATCTCTGAAAGCGATATTGGCAAAAATCATAGCCTTGTTCGCTCGCATACTAGGGGCGTTT